CTCTGACGTTGGCTTCTCGTGTGGAGCCGAAAGCTCAGAATAAAACTATCGTCCCAGAGGTCGAGTCTTACTCTTCTTTATACTAAACTATCTTAACTTAGCAAAACTAACTAAACTAAACTAACTAATAAATTACACCACCGATCCCGTAAGAAAGAATTATTGGGCTGGGGGCATCTAAGGTGGGCGACCGACTTAACTTTCACCTCCGGGTGGTGTTTTGTTGACCTTTTGTCCGTCCGATCACTTAATACACTGAATTGCGTTCAATGCTTACTCGCCCTGTCTTCACTGTCTATTTTCTCCGTCTCGAAATTCCTTAATTAGGGGAACTTCCGACTGCCGCGTCATGGATGCGTCAGTACATAATGAATCATCCCGACTACAAGCACGACTCCGTGGTGTCTGCCAAAGTCGCCAGTGACCTAATGAACGAGTGCCTGGCAGTGACCAGTGGACAGTCAGACGTCACGGAAAACCCTCTGCTGAGGGGCACTTTCTCCTCACGTACCGCGGCTCATCCGCCTGCGGCCACCCTATCTGCTCACGCCTCCCTTCACGAGAGACGCGTCCAGTCGGCTATATCGCTGTCAGCGTTAGCGGCATCTGGCGAAGTCCTGATTGAGCATGAGTGTGGTAGCGAGGCGTTGTTGAGTGAAAAGGCGCACAATGCTAGCTTCCACCTTCTCGAAAATGACGGCGTATCTTAGTCAAAAACAGTGTCCCTTTACGCCCCCTTCTTGCTCAACCGCCTCTTTTTGCTTTTTTGATTGAAAGTCCGGCTGCGCATATTTGTGTGGCGCATTATTCGTGACTCGAATTATGCAGTGCAGTACGTTTTTATTTCGCTATCCGAATGCCTTTCACGGGGAGTACTTGAAATGCTATCCATACGCACACTTGTTTTTGCTTCTCTTCCCCTATTTGTTGAATAAATTGTAAATCACTCTGCTCTCTCCTGGAGACGAAAGTCTCGTATACTCAAGTTCACTATATCACGCCAGAATGTGCCGGTTCCCGAGATGCTTTCCACTGGACTGGGTCAGTTTCACCAGTTACTGAGACAGTTGTCTAAATCAGGTCATTTCTGCTGCTGTAACTGTAGTGGACC